TACTCCTCCTCCTCCTCCTCCTCCTCCTCCTCCTCCTCCTCCTCCTTTTCCTCCTCCCTCTCGTCCTCCTCCTCCTCCTTTTCCTCCTCCTCCTCCTCCTCCTCCTCCTCCTCCTCCTCCTCCTCCTCCTCCTCCTCTCTCCTTCCCCCTGTCTCTTCCCTTTTCTTCCCTCCATCCCCTCCTCTTCTCCCTCCTCCCTCCTCCCTCTCCCGCCCCTCTTTCCTCCCTTCTCGTCCCTCCTCCTCCCTCCTCCTTTCCCTTTTTGTCCCCGTTGTCTCCTCCCTCCTCCTGCCTCACTCCTCCCTTCCCCTTCCGTCTTCCTTCGTCGCTCCGGCTTGATACTCCTTCACCTTTTTCTCAAGATTGGGGCCCTCGTTTCGGCATCGCCTCTGGGGGACTTCCAAGAGTCCGTCTTGAACCTTAATGATTTAAGAACTACAATTTTTGGAGAGCGTAGATCATGTGTAGGAGGAGGAGAAGAAGGAGGACGGATGACTTCCAGGGACTCCAAGGATCGAGGGTGGAAGGATTGACTTCAGGGATTCCTTACGAGGGTGTGGAGGGCCAGGTGGAGGATGCGAGCATGGGAGCGGCGGCGCCTGGGGGCGTGGACGTTCAGGGTCACGCGCCGAGGCCGGAGAATGGTGGCGCAACAGTTCGAACAAGGGGTAAGAACCACCTCGTCCTCGGAGGTACTGCTACTACAACTACTCTTCCTTCCTCCCCCTCCTCGTCCTCCATCATCCTCCTCCTCCTCCTCTCCCTCTTCCTCTCCCTCATCTTCCCTCCCCTCCTCGTCCTCTTCCTCCTCCTCCGACATGCGGGGCGCGCGCAAGGCGATTGCGATGGCGATGTGCCGTCCGAGCTGCGGACGCCGAAGTTCCTCGGAAGAGGTGGTGGCGATATTTTCCTGGGCGGGAGGTCTGGGCGAGGGAATATCGGACCCCGCATGCCAGAACAATCCCCAACGATGGGGCGTGGTACCCAGAAGGATGCACGTGACATGCGGAAACATGGCGCATGACGGTATGTTTTTGTTGTGGTTGTTGTTGTCGTCGTTGTTGTTGTTGGTGGTGGTGGTGTTGTTGTTGTTGTTGGCGTTGTTGTTGTTGCTGCTGTTGTTGTTGTTGTTGTTGTTGATTGGGGGGGGGGGGGGGGGGGGGGCCGGGCGTTCGGGCGGAACCCCGAAACGCTCGAGAGTGAACTTGAGTTTCAAAAGACAAGCAGCCAGCGCCGAGACGGGAGCGCCAGGGCGCGTGTAGGGGGTCGAATAATAATCATGGTAACTAACACTCAACAGCAACAGCACGAATTTCAAAATCATTCGTCGGAGATCTGGATTTGCGTCGGAAGCCATATCTGGCCAGGCTGATGTTGTGCTCACCCAGGCTGGTGCCCCAGACCTCTCGACCCCTTTCCCCAGGCCTGGTTTTTCATCTTGACCCGCTTCCTGACAACCCCGAGGCCCATAGCCGTCTTCCAGAAACCAAAACTGGCGACGAGCTGGCCGCTCCGATTTTCTCGAGGCGCTGGATGTTTGGGCCGAGTCTGGGCAGGCTGGTGGTTCATTCGGACATCCAGCCTCGACAGCGCCTCGCACTGATGGGGTCCGATCAGATGGTGTCGGAGGATCGCGCCGCATCGCCGATACATCGCCGACGCGGTTCGATGCGGCGCGTAATAATCTCTACGCCGACGGCGCCAATGCATCGCCGACGTCGCCGATGCACCGCCTATAGACGTGTACAAATAGAGCTATAATATATATATATATATATATATATATATATATATATATATACATATATATACATATATATATATATATATGTACATACATGCATACATACATACATACATAGAATTAGATCGACCTGTACAACTATAAGTATATACGCGTTGATTGATGGAGTAACTGGTAAACTGATAGATTTGAGATATCGGATCTATTGATGCACAAGTATATATGACAGTATACGTATATAGATAGAGATGGATGGTTGTCAAAACAGATAGCTAGATCTATAGGTCGATAGATGGGCAGATGTTCGCGACAATCAAAATAGTTGAAGAAGCCACCAGGGAACTCAGAGCCATCGCAAATCGACCGCAGCCCCCTTCCCCCCCCCCAACCTCCGTATCACCCGTAGGGTGGTCCCATCGGCATCTTCAGATCCGCCGGATGTCAGAGGTTCTCGCTTCATCATCCCCCGATGTGAGTCTCGTCCTGGCCTCGTCTACACCAGGTTGCTTGTCTACTGCCCAGGCTGGTGCCTCTTCCAGCCGTTCCGCGGCGGCGCCTGCTTCGTCGTCCTGCAGGCTTGCGGCTGGACCAGCCTGGCCACGGTGGGCGCCGCGGTGCTGCTGCTCGTCGCTACGTCCGCCTACGTGCCCGGCTTCGCCTCTGCGCTGGGGCCCTCGGGCAGTGCCAAGGGGGCCAGCGACCTCCTCTCAAGGGGCCCAGTAACACACACACACACACACACACACACACACACACACACATTTACACACTTACACAATCACACACACACACACTTACACACTTACACACCTACACACACATCGATATACATATATATTTATATATACACACGCGTACATATATATATATATATATATATATATATATATATATATGTGTGTCCGTAAGGGCTTCGCCCCCTGCCGCCGGCCCCCTCTCTCGGAGAATGGGCCATGGAAGAGCTAAGTCATGAGGCCGGCAAAACCAACTGATCACAAGAGGGGTTACCACACAGGGCGATTGGTAAGACGTGTATGGTTTACGAGCTTGGTTACCAAACCTTGGGATTAAAGGGCCGAGGGAGTACTCGCAGTTTGGGTTACCACGCCTTGCGATGGATGTGCGTGAGGGGTGGCACCGAATTTCAGAAATGTGGCAAATCCCCTGTGTTTTTGGACCCTGACCCCGCGGATCTGCGTGATGGGTGGCACCGAATTTCAGAAATGTGGCAAATCCCCTGTGTTTTTGGACCCTGACCCCGCGGATCTGCGTGAGGGGTGGCACCGAATTTCAGAAATGTGGCAAATCCCATGTGTTTTGGACCCTGACCCCGCGGATCTGCGTGAGGGGTGGCACCGAATTTCAGAAATGTGGCAAATCCCCTGTGTTTTTGGACCCTGACCCCGCGGATCTGCGTGAGGGGTGGCAACGAATTTCAGAAATGTGGCAAATCCCTTTTGTTTTTGGACCCTGACCCCGCGGATCTGCGTGAGGGGTGGCACCGAATTTCAGAAATGTGGCAAATCCCCTGTATGTTTGGACCCTGACCCCGCGGATGTGCGTGAGGGGTGGCACCGAATTTCAGAAATGTGGCAAATCCCCTATGTTTTTGGACCCTGACCCCGCGGATCTGCGTGAGGGGTGGCACCGAATTTCAGAAATGTGGCAAATCCCATATGTTTTTGGACCCTGACCCCGCGGATCTGCGTGAGGGGTGTCGATTTCGAGCCCCCCCAGCAATTCAGACAACGCGCCCAGGGGGTGCTAAAAGGTCCCGTTTGGGCCTCCCCCCCCCCTCGCGCGGTCAATCAACTAGTTACAGTAACCAGCAAGAAGCAGAACTTTTTTTTTTTCTGTAAACATTGGGGAAAATACAACTACAAATGTGTGTTGTGTTTGGTTTGTTTTTGTGGTGTTTGTTTTTGTTGTCTTGAATGGGTGTGTGTTGTTGTTGTTGTTAGGTTTGTTGTTTTTGGGTTGAGGCGGTCAATCAACTAGTTACAGTAACCAGCAAGAAGCAGAACTGTAACACTGGAAAATACAAGCTACAACTGGTACAGGAAACTGCGAATCACGGGCCTACAGCCTGGTGACCCCACAAGGGGGCCGGCGGATATATATGCACAAAGGCCAGGATCCCCCCATATTGTTCCATATGTTGTGGAAGATTTTCGTCAACCCCCCCCCACCACTTCCCATAGTTTCTCATCTATTCATGGGAATCGACAATGGTTTGTGTTTCTGTGCTTGTTTGTCCCTCCTGATCAATGGAGGCCACCGCCCAGACTCCGACATCCGTTTCGCTTCGCGTCGGGGCTGCGCCGAGCACCGCATGTCGTGGTCGATCTCCGCCCAGAAGTTGCGGGAGCGGACGAGCCGCGCCGCCCGAGCCCGCCAGCCCGGGGCCCCCGAGTCTGGCCGTGCCAAGGAGGGCCAACACTATGGGGGGGGGTCATCGCCTCCTGAGATTGTCATACGCTTTAGTTGGTCATCGGCGGCTCTCTGGCCTCGGGATGCCCTCCAGCAGCTGCGCTTCGCCGAGGACGCTCCAGAGGTGCCGAGATCGTCCCGAGCCGCCGCAGAAGGCCGAAACATGGCCCGAAACGCATGAGGGACGGCGAAAGCCTCAGGGGGGGCGCATCGAACCCCAATCGCACACTCATCGCCGAGAGGGGCCCGATGGCCCGTCCCTGCGCAGGAACGTGCGCAGTCGCTATCAGTGGCCTACGGTCGGACCGAGGTATAGGATCAAGTTCGGTTCGGGGAGCCCTAACGTTCTTCGTGTTTGTTGGATGTTCTTGTGCATACTGGGAAAAGTACCCTTGGATGGTCTGTGTGTTTTGGCTGGCGGAGGGTCTCATGCTCATGAAGGATGATGTGATATCCTTGGTCCGACGGTATCACTGGTGTAGCTGCGATGTGTCGCCGATTCCAGGTCGATGTTTCCCACCCTGAGCCGCCCCCCCCGAACATTCCCCCTCAGGCTCGCGCAGCTGGTCGCGCAAGTCGCCCTCGTCATATCTCTCGCACACTTCGAGAACGTGCACGTCTCGGTCGAGTACTGGAGGCAGCACTGCAAGCAGTGGATGCACGACGGGATGCCTCTGTCCGTGGCCGCCATCATGCTGGTGACGGTGGCCATCGCGACAATCGGCGCCGCCATGGTCTCGCCGCCGTCCCCCCGGCTTGCCTGCTGGATCGCCCTGGCCATGTGGCTGCTCCTGCAGGCAGCCGGCGTCCGCATCATGTGGACGGTCACCTGGAACATCGGCACGCTCTTCGCCTACGCGCTCGAGTCGGAGGAGGCGCTGGCCGTCATGGCGTGCATCGGCATAGGCGCCGTCTGCGCGCCCTGGTACCTGGGCCGCGCCGCCTTCTGGCGGCAGGACTTTGCCACCCGCGCCATGATCGGGCTGTCGCGCTGGGCCAGCGAGGACCTCTGCCTCCCGCTGCGGCTGCGCGGCTGGTACGTCCACGAGCACTGCATGGGCTACGTGCGAGCCTGCTTCCTCTTCGCGGACACCGCGCTGCACGCGGTGCCCGCCGCGCTCCTCCTCCAGCACTGCGCGTGGCGCATCCGGCCGTGGCACGTCGCGGGGTCCGTGGCGCTCTCGGCGCTCTGGATGGCGACCCTGTCGCTGAGGTTCGTGGTGCTCGACTTCCAGCTCCTCTGGCAGGGGCGGCTGCTCTGGCGGCGCTGGGGCGAGAGGTCCCTCTTCGAGCCGCACAAGGTCGGCCACATCTACCTCTTCGAGAACAGCGCGGTTCCCCAGGACTCGAAGCACAACCAGCTGCGCAGACATCATGTTTCGGACGTCCGCGCGGATCTCTTAGATCTGCGCTGCACACACCCCTGGCGGCGCCTCTGGCGCCGCCCCTGGCGCGCTCCGCGCGCCAAGGAGGGCGGGTCCAGTGCCGATGCAGGAAGTCCGCGCGGACCTCCGAAAGTGCATGCTCACGCCGGTTCTTACCATCGCTGCGTCTGCGCTTGTTATCGATATTGTAGTGGCCTTCGGCCAGTGCCGCCGATCCGGGGCGCTCCGACTGATGTGATCCTTCTTCACCCTCGTCCTTCCTCTCTTTTTCCCTCCCCTCCTCTCACTCAGCATTTATCGAAGACGCCTACGGCGAATCACCGCCGCCCCCTGCCTTTTTGGAAACGCCGATGTGGCCGAAAGTTGGACTAGAGCTTGGCCAAGCTATCGGACCATGAGTTCCCCGAGTCGGTTTGGAAAGCTTTCGGGGAACACATGGGAGAGAATGATTATGAACAGGAAGAGGAAGAGGAAGAAATAGAGTAGGAGGATGAGGGTTGTTAGGAGTCTCTTGGGGCACCCTTGGGGTCTGTTGGGGGCTTCTTGGGGGCCTCTTCGAGGCCTCTTGGAGGCATCTTGGGGGCCTCCTTGGGCCTCTTGGGGGCCTTTGGGGGCTTCCTGGGGGTCTCTTTGGCCGTCTTAGGGCGTTCCTGGTCCGTCTGACGCCGTCTGGAGCCGTCTTGGGGGCCTCTCTGGGCCGTCTTGGGGCCCTCTTGGGGCGCTTCAGGGCCGTCTTGGAGGCCATGTTGGGCGTCTTGGAGGCCTCTTGGGCCGTCTTGGGGCGCTCTTGGGGCCGTCTTGGGGGGCCCTTGGGCCGTCATAGGGCCTTCTTGGAGGCCTCTTGGGCGATCTTGGGGGCCTCTTGGGCCGTCGGAAGGCCGAAAAGAAGAAAACGCAAAAAACCTTCAAAAACCTAAGGAAAACCAATGATTTTGGCCTCTTCGGGCTCTCCTGGAGAACGTCTTGGAGGCCTCTTGGGCCATCTTGGAGGCATCTTGGGGCCATCTTGGCCGTCTTGGAGGGCATCTTGGGCCGTCTTGGAGGCATCTTGGAGCCATCTTACCCGTCTTGGAGGCCATCTTGGCCGTCTGGGAGGCATCTTGGAGGCCATCTTGGGCCATCTTGGCCGTCTTGGAGGCCATCTTGGGCCAAGTTGGGGCAACAAAGGCATTGACAGACGGATTTTGGGAAAATTACGGGTGGCCGGCGGGACGGGCCGAAGCCCACTGGGGAGTTCTTTTAGAAAAAGAACCAAAACCAAAACCTGAAACATCCAGCACGCCGTGCACCCCTGCAAGACCACAGGGGGCGGCGGATCCAGTGGCCGTCGGCCTATCCCGCCACCGTGCGTGGGTGGTGGGTCAGAGGCCTCATGGATGCTGGTTGGGATCTCGTGGTTGGCTGGGACTTCTGGGGGCCTCTTGGGCGCCTCTTGGGGCTTCTTGGGGGCCTCTTGGGCCTCTTGGGGCCACTAGAGGGCCTCTTGGGGGTCTCTTGGGAGCCTCTTGGGGCTTCTTGGGGGCCTCTTCTGCGCCCCTTGGGGCCTCTTGGAGGCCTCCTCGGAGCCTCTTGGTGCGGGAGGGGTGGCACTCGAGTTCGGAACCCCCTCGGAGGCCACGATCCTTGTGAGGGGTGTCAAAAAACGCATCCGCCGGAAACTCGCACCCCCCACCCACCCCCACCCCCCCTTCCCCGGCAGAGCCACCCCACCCCGGCAACCCCCCCAGAGGCTGAGGCTCAGCCTCGAGGCTGTAGCTGAGACTCCTTGAAACTCACACGCCGGATCGGCGGATTCAGAGGCGACGATAGGGGCGAATAGCCCAAGGGAGAGCAACACATGCATTCAGGTGCGCCGATGATCCATGTCTTCGAAAAGGAGTACGTGTAATGCCCGCCCCTGGGCTATTCGCCCCTACAGTCAAAAACCCTAAGAAGGACGCGCGACTTTGCTCAGGGTACCCTTGCGTCCTTGCTCTTCTTTGCTCTTGCGGCTCGTCCTTGGCCTCTTTCGCTTGCCCGCTTGTCAGGGTACCCTTGGGGTTTTCGTCGTCCGCCGCCCAACAAATCCCAACTTCGGCTTCCAAGGGTCTCGCGTCCTTACCGCGCGTCCTTATTAGGGTGTTTGACTCTATCGTCGCTGAGGACGACGCCCTGATCGCGTGCGTCCCGGGCTTCCTGAGCTTCATGGCCCTCGGCCACGCCGCGGTCGCGCTCGTGGCCGCGACACCCTGGGCGGGCGAGGTACTCTTCGCCGCGGGGGGCGGGCACCGCGTCTCGGAGGGGACCCTCGCGGGCGCGATCGTGTGCCTGCTGGGCTGCTCCGCGCTCGCGGGCGCCTCGGGCTTCGCCAGGCTCCTGTGGCTCCGAGCGCACGAGGCGAAGGAGCTCGGAGGGGGCGTCAGGGGGGCGACAGAGGCTCCTGGGGTTGAGTCGGGCCTGTCCCTCTACAGGGGGGATCCTCAAGAATAGTAAAAAAACATAGTCTGGGGATGATTTGTGAGTATTGTTGGATATCTGTTTTTAAGTATGTGTGGATATGTTTTATGTTTCGTCGGAAATCCCCCTGTAGGGGGACGCGCCCGACTTAACCCTGGGGGCCAGAGCTCCGACGATCTGGGGACAGCAGGCCCAGCAGGGCAAATCGATGTCGGCCTCGCGAGGGCCGGCTGCGCCGGGCCCCGGGAGCATCCGAGAGGGCCCTCGGCCCGAAGAGCACCCCCGGGGGGGGGAGCGGCGGGGACCCCTCTCGGGCCGCGGACCGAGAAGGCAGATCGGCGGACGTCGGGGGGGGGGGGTGCGTCGGCCCTCGATCGCCAATCGATCGCCAACAGACTTGGGGGCCCGACAGCCCACTCCGCCCAGGAGCCGTCGCCGATCTAGTGGCGACGTATCGCCGATTCCAGGTCGATGTTCCTCCCCCCCCTGAGCCTGTCCCCCCCCTGACGTTCTCCCCCAGAGGAGAAGGAGAAGTGAGGCGCGCGTGGTGCCGTCACCAGCGGGCAACGGGGGGGGTCATCGGGAGGCCGATGCTGAGCCGGCCGGGGCAGTGCGGGAGAGCGGCCCGCTGGGGTTCCGCCGGGCCTCCTCCGAGAGGCTGGGCTCCGAGCGGACGGGGTCGAGCCCGATGTTGTCCACGACGACGTCGCCGATGCATCGCCGATGCATCGCCGATGCATCGCCGATGCGGCGTGATCCTCCGACCCCACCTGCTCGGACCCCATCTAGGGAAGAGGAAGCTTCGGGGAGGGCGAGGCCCGCAGGGCGGGGGCGGGGAAGCGCACGTGGGGCGAGAGGCTCGGGCCCAGCTTCGCCCCCGGGCGAGCTCTTGTTCTCGGCGGCGAGCGGGGCGCAGCGAGAAGGCGGAGGCCTTCTCAGAAGGCAGCGGGGCTCCTCAGCAGCTCTCCGGCCTCCTGAGCAGTGTTCTGCCTCTTCGGGGTGGGCTCAGAAAACGGCTCAGAAGGCCCGTGGGGCTTCCGGGCCTCCCTGAGAAGGCCCGCCCCTTCTCTCATTTTCCCCGGATGCTCACCGCCGCTCTTCGCTGCCTGCGCCGTGGCCGCGGGAATCGCGCCGGCCTGCCCAGCGCCATCGAGAGCGGGAGAGGTCAGGAGCCGGGAGGTACGGTCGGGAGCCTGGGCCCAGCGTGTCGCGCCGCCGGTGCTGGTTTGAGGAGCTTCGGCGCGGCACGCGAGCCGCTTCCCGGCCCCCGAGCGTCAACGTCACGAGCTGGTAATTACCCGACCTCCCGCCCCGCGGGGCGGAGCGACACACCACCCGACTGCAGGGCACAGTTCGCGCGTCGCTGGGGCCTGCGCCGCGACACGCTGAGCGAGAGCTTCTGACGGCAGGCAGGCAGACAGAACAACGGAAACAGAAACAGAAACAGGCACAAACAGACACAAACAGACAGACAGGCAGACGGACGGAAACAGACAGAAACAGACATAAACAAACAGAGACAGACAGACAGGCAGACAGACAGGCAGGCAGGCAGGCAGGCAGGCGGGCAGACAGACAGACAGACAGACAGACAGACACACAGACAGACAGACAGACAGACAGACAGACAGACAGGCAGACAGACAGACAGACAGACAGACAAACGCCCATTCTCGGGCAGAGGAGCCCAGTCGTTCGCGGGCCGCTGGCGGACGGCACAGCCGTGCTCCCATAGGAGCACGGTCACAAGAATCTGGGCGCGGAGGCTGTTTCCAGACGGGGGTCAGGCACGCACATGAGAATCTGCCAGAAGGACGAGGGCACCAGCAGTTCAGCGCCACCGACCCAGACCCCCTCGCGTCCTGGAAAAGTGCACGACGAGGGGTTGCTGGCAATGCTTGCCGGCCAGTGCGGGCCCTCGCGAGGCCCGGGGACAGCCAACAGACTGCGTAGGACGAAACCCTGCCCCCGGAAAGGGGTCACGAACGCTCGGGGCCCACGTCACGTAAAAATCACGGGGGCGGGGGTCTGTGGAGGCGGGTGCCCGGCAGCGGGCCTTCCGGCAGCGCGCCGGAGGGCGCAGAAGAGCGGCAGGAGGGTGCCCTCGTCGCGCAGGAGGGTGCCGGAGAGCAGCAGACAAGTGGGTGCCTTGTCCGCGCGGGACGTGACAGGAAAGTTCAGCCACGCGCAGAAGGGGGGTGGGGGGAGGGGGGGCTTCCTAGAAGCACCGCTGCTTCTTAGAAGGCGCGGGCCTTATCTATGGATGCAAGCCGTCGCCTTCTAGGAAGCCGCCTCCTTCTAGGAAGCCCCCCCCCTCCCTCCACTCCCTTGTGCGCGCCGCCAGAAAGTGCAGCTCTCCAGGCCCCGCCCCCGGAGCACAGTCGGGCCGCTGCGTTTAAGGAACACTGGCTGTGCAAAAAAGGGGCTCCGTCGTTCCAGAGGTCTCTGCGTGCGTTCCGCTCCTTTTTTTCAGCGGTGGGCCCCCCGTGGGTTCCTTCGGACGTCGAGGGCGTACACGTTGTTCGTATTCGAAAGTTATGTGATTTTTGGGGGGGGCGAGATCCAGTCATTTCTAAGTGTTCCATCCTGGGCCTCTTCCTGGCCACCAGGGGGCCAGGAACAATTAGAAACGAGCAGACTTAGAAATGAGCACGATTAGAAATGAACAACGTGCATTTGGAAAAAAGGGGCCGCGTTCCTTGGTTATCGTTCCTTAGGTCAGCGGCCCGACTGAACCCATCAGGGATGCGCTGAGCAACAGGGGGGCAGAGGAAACAGATATCTGAAGGGCTGCGCCCCCTGCCACCGGCCGCCCCAGGCGAAAGTTGGTGACTGTGTTTCAAGATTGTGAGATCGTCTGAAAGCGTCTCGAGGCCTCTGGGGCCGCCGTCGAGCCATCTTGGGCCATCTGGGGCTTACCTCAGGGACCTCTGGGACAAGTCTTGGGGGCACATTGGGACGTCTTGCGGCCTTGACGGACCATCCTGGGCGATTCGGGCGCACAGTTAGTTCTTTGGGGGTCCCTTGGGGCGTCTGTGACGAGCTCGGGGGCCCTAGAGCTGTCTTGAAGCGATCGTGGGAGCAAGGCATGGCACAGGCAAAACACATTGAAAACTGTATTGCTTTCCGGCCATCCTTGAGGCATCTCGGGGCCATGCTCGGCCGTCTTGGGTTCTCAAGGCTCTCTTCGGGACCGCTTGCCGCCGTCCTGGAGGCCTCCTGGGCCCACTTAGCTGCCTGGTGCCGCCCCTGCGTTAATCCTGCGGCGATCTGGAGTAGCCAAGAGGCCGAAGGTCCGGCCACCTCTGGATAGGCAGCAGGAACGAGAATGGACCGGACAGACTCGGGGCAAAAGTCGGGGCTCAAGAGACGGGGGTCAATGCAAACGAGGGCCAGCCAAAGCCAAGGGGTGCATTGACCAGGGGCTAGCGTGCAGGATCCAGCAGGATCTTGCAGGATTTTGCAGGATACTGCAAAGCCTGACTGACCCGGGTTTGGATTGACCCCAGCCAGTCGATCCCCGCAAAAGCCGAAGGACGCACACAGAGACGGCAAGACAAGACAGCAGCCCAGCAGCACGTTTCACGGCTTCGCCCCCTCTTCTCTCCAGCTCCCGCGCTCTGGCTTCCACCCTGCACCTTCCAGCTCGCACCTTCCAGTTCTCGACCTCCCGCTTCTGGTGCAAAGCACGACCTGTACACTGGCGGAAGAGTGCGACCGATCTTCTCGGACACCGAGGCCAGATTACGAGCACTCCCCTTTACGTCCTCCCCTCCCTAACCTCTCCACGCCGACTTCGACCACACGATCGCTGAGAGCCACTGGCCCACCCGCGCTGGCCTCATCAGCCCTGCCCTTGGCGGTCACCGGCGCGTGCGCCTGGCCCCGGGGGGGGGGCTGGCGGATGCCGAGAGCTCCTCCTGTGGCGTTGCTCAGCTTTGCCTGCGCCCTCCCGCCGAAGTCGGAGGGGTCGAGCGAACGCTGTGGAGCCCCTTCCCATCAGTTGGGAATCTGGGAAGCCCTTTCGATTCGGAGAGCTTCCCGGATCGTAGGCACGCACGGCGTCGGAATGTAGACCCACCCGGATCGGATGTAGCCATTGCCCTTGCTGGCCCACCCGGGTCGGATATAGCTGCATGGCGCCGGCCCTAGCTGTGGATTTTGCCGTTCTGCTCCTCTTCATGGGAGGCAGCGGGAGGGAGAGCGGAGGAGGCGATGCGCCTCCCGGGCGAGCTCTCTCGGCGACCGCGCCGCGGCACGCAGGGTTTGTGCCGCCCGCCCTGAATAGTGGTCCGTGCCCCTTGCCCACGCGTGCTCCGCGTGCGTCCATGGGGCTGCGAGAGGGCCAGTGGTGGGGGGAGTAGGACGATGAGGGGGAGAACCGGAGTGAGCCAAGGATGCTTACCAGCCTGGAACATATCCCTACCCCTATGCTGGGCATCTCCTCATCACGATGCCAATCTTAGGGATTCCCTTATGTTTTGAGGGCGAATCCCTAAGATCGTCATCGCCTTTTGGCGTGTCAAGCTTAGGGATAGGGATAAGTTCGAGGCTGGTAAGATGCACCGACAATGCTGCCATGCTCCCTCCCGTCCCAGGACCCCCGTCTCTCGTAGGCCCCCACGAGTGTTGCACTCCACTGCGGGAGGCGCCTCCCTTGAACGACGGGCGCCTGGCTTGCCTGCCACCCAGACAAGACCCCTGTTACGCAAAGGATCCACAGGTTTCAAGCGAGCGCCGCAGTTTTTAAGCACGCACGCACCCCTCTATCTTTGTAAATGATGCAAGCTTGTTAGTCAGGAGCGGGAAAAACACACAGACACAATTAGTCGTCGATTCCCAGGAAAATATATGAAAATATGGGAAGTGGGGGGGAAGACAGAAACCCCGAAAATATGGGGAATAGTTTTATGTGTGTATTTATGTGTGTGTGTGTCCCAGGGCCCCTTCAGTTAAGGCGAATGTGCGCGGCGCTAAGGCGATAGCCTCCGTTTGGAAACCACTGGCCCTCCATCGGTATAACGAGTGCAGGTTATTTAGCGAAAGTACGCTGCGGTTCAGAACATGCATTTTTTGAAAACGATCAGCCCTCCATCCTTGTAATTGTGGCAAGCGTTCAAGTCGAACGCGCGCTGAGAGTCTCTGATTAAAAACCACCAGCCCTGAATAGCTGTAACTGCTGAACATGCTGAAGGCGCATGCGCGCGGCGCCAGGGCACATGCATGGTTCGGAGACAACCGACCTTCCATCCGCATGGCTGGTGATGGAAGGTTCCTTATCTTCACGGTAACACACGTTATGGAAGTTTTAAGCGAAGCGCGTGGCCCTGCCTACGGACACGTCTGGTGGTGCAGCAGGGAAGGACAAGTGAGCGGGAGAAGCGGAGGACGACGACAACGGCTACAACGGGGAAGGGAGGAGGGGAGGGGCAGAGGGAGGGGAAGGATGATGGGGATGAGAAGGTGGAGGGACGACGGAGGGGGAAGATGGAGAAGTGGATCTCTTCGAAGGAATATTACAGAGATCCGAGGTGGAGAGAGCACGGGAGGAGAATGAGAAGAGGGGGAGCGAAGCTGAGGA